GGCACGTACCTTGGTTGCAGGCACATCCCCAGTGGGGGGTGTGCAAGAGGCAGCTGGTTGATGTTTCTCTCTCATCGATGTTTCTAACTCTCTATCCCTCTCTGTGTAAAATCAATAAAATATATTTAAAAATAAAAAAAATTTCTCTCTTTGTCAATATGACATTTAACATTTCTTAGGGTCTGCACATCTAACCCATAACACCTATAAAATCCTTTATTCTTTCCCAGGACTTTTCCAGTTTGGCGTCCTGACAGAATAGAGGGCTTTGGTAACAAATTACTATAAGTTGAGGACTTCAAAGCATTACAATAGAAAACTTTTTGTTTGTTTCCTTATGTAGTTGACTATATTGCTATTCCTGTTATTAAAAAAGGAAATGCAAAAAAAAAAAAAATAAATGGATATGAAAAAGTAAATTACTAGAAAGAAAAAAACAAGAAGAGATGGCCTGATCAATAAACTGGGAGGATCTCTGGCCAAGTAGGCATTTATGACTCTGTATCCTAGGCCCCTCTTCCTCCATCAATTAAATATTTTCAAATTTGTTGATGTGCTGAGGCAGCAATGAGGCACCAATGCAGGAAAATGATACAAACCAAGAGATTTCATGGACAACAAGTGAGACAAAAAGAAGTTTAAAATGCAGCCATTTCAAAGCTCAATTAAAAATTCTAGCCACGAATCCAACCACTAAGGCAAACAGCATGATCTACACAAAAACTGTACAAACTACTTAATATATGATAAGCAGAAAGTAATTTCTGAAGAAGGGAAGAGGTAGAGAAGTAGAGACTTAACTGTCTAGCAGATTAATGTGCCTCACATCAAAAGAAAGGGTCTCATTATGTCAATATAATCTCAAGAAATTAGCGACACATTCCCAGATCATCAAAAGGTAGAAAAACAGAAGTTAAACTAACCCCACGTGGTGATAATAAGGGACAAAACAGGTATGTTACCTTTAGTGATTAATAGACAAAACACCCAGATGTCATAACGGGTAATTTTCCAAACCCAATAAATAAACCGGCTGTGAAATCTAGACATCAGAGGAACCAGAAGTGAACTCAGTAATGGGAAAAGGGGGTGGGAGGGCACGGCCACTGAAGTGTCCTTTGGCCAGAAGCCAGGGTGGCGTCTCTTCACAACATATTTCCTTAGAGGCCATTTTACCCTAAATGTAGTTAACATTTTCTTTTCTCTTTAGGCTCTGGCTCCTAAAAGGTACTTTAACGATTTATTTCAATAGTAAACAAGTGGGTGGAAGATTTCTCAATTACATGTCTAGCATTAAAACACAGGGTGAAGGAACCTGGAACTGAGATGGAATCTTTAGCCAAACTATTATTAGTGACTTTTAGCTGCTACGAGGGAGGCAGGTGTAGCACAGCCCCCCGGTGTTTATGGAGGACAGCAATGCTCCAGGGCCAGGAAAAACATCTCCACAACAAAGCGATGTCAACCTGACTGAATTTCCAAACCTCTCTCACCAGTGATCTACATACAGCTTAGGGAATGCACTGCCTACAACTAAAAATGAGTTCCAGTAAAGCAGACTACTCAATGCCAAATAAATCTCACCTGGAGGGTTTGGAAACTGCCAGGGCTACCACTTATTAAGTCAGCACCACTTCCCTGCCAGCCTGGTTCAGTGGGTGAGCATCGACCCATGAACCAGGAGATCTGTGTTCTATTCCCAGTCAGGGCACACGCCTGGGTTGTTGGCTGGATCCCCAGTGGGGGACGTGCAGGAGGCGGCCAATCAATGATCCTCTCATCATTGATGTTTCTGTCTCCCTCTCCCTCTCCCTTCTCTGAAATCTAGAAAAATATATTTTAAAGTAAAAAATAAATTATAATAAAAACCAGCACCACTAAATGCTAAAATGCAAAATGTGAACCTCCTTCTGAAAGGCTAAATCTCAGGGTCTCCCACAGTCCTGGGCTCCTACCAGTCAATGCAGCAAACAGCTGTTTACTGGGATTCTCCAGAGACAAGAAGATTTCATAAGCTTTGCATGGGGAAGCGTAAGATACAAATGACATTGGACATCAGTTTACTCGATGCCAAAGTGTGAAAAAGAGGCACGAGATGTTACAAGGTGCCAGTGGAGAGAGATCAGCAAGGCTTTATGAAGAAGGCAGCCACTGAAGCGGTCTTTGAACAGAAAATACTTCCACAGGAAGAGGAGAAGAGTGATGAGAAGGTAAGCTGCTCGGGATAGAAGGAGGAACCTTCAGGAAAAAAATGGATATCCCATCTGGCCTGAGCACAAGATGCAAACAGACATGAGGCTGGAGTGATGGTACTGAGGGCCCTTGAATGCCGCATGGGGACCTTATATACCACTTTTGAAGACCTTTGAGCAAGAAATGGGTCAGGTCAGGTAAATACTTTAGAAAGGGGAAAACTCACTCAGGATCCTATTGACAAAAGTGAGCATAAAATAAGTAAGAATTTTTAACAAATAAAAGATTGAGTAAAATGAGAGTTAAATAAGGAAGAACCAAAGGCTAAGTTTGGGCCCAGATATCAGAGAAGGGGGAATATGCCTTTAACAAAGATATAGAAGTTAGAATAGACCAGTGTGGGAGAGGGAAAATAACCATGTTAATTGCAAAACCCTATGGAGATCTTAGATGACTTTAGTACCAAAAACAAGTACAGGATAGTAGCGACATGAGTCATCTGGCGCTCGTCCAATTTGTTAAAAAGAATGTAAGGCCACGGGACCTTTTGCATATGCTGGTTCCTCCAGCTAGAGGTTATGCCCTGCCCCTAGGAGGATAATGCAGCTCAGAAAACACTTCTGAGAATCCTTCTTTGACCCTTCCTGCAGATGGGATCCGCCCATCACATGCTTTCACAGAAGAGTTCCTCTGTCACAGCTCTTATCTCAATTATAATTAGACATTCATTTCTTGCAATGATTTGATTAATGTTGTCTCGCCATCAATAGGCTGTGAGCTCCCAATAGGGTCCCCTATGCCTATGCAGCAGGTCTCGATGAAATCTTTGGAAGAGAGGACAGGAGGGAGGTAACTGTCTATATCTCAGTGAGCAGATGGTGCAGGAACCTGAATCACATCCTACAAGACAGGGCTGGTGCAGGGACACGTTCAGCCAGAAGAGACGCCTCATGGCAGATGGTGGTCTCCAAACAGATCTGAAGAGCTGTCATGAGGATGATGGATGAGCGGCACACTATGTGGTCTCAGGGGGAAGGAGAGAACCAGGATTGATGGCTAAAGGTTCCAGGGAGACAGATCTCAGCTCAAGGGCTGGAAGAGTTTTTGCACAGCTGGAGAAAACGGATTGCTCCAAGCAGGAGCGAGTCCCCTTTACCAGATACGCTTGGTCAGAGGTGCAGAGCCACTTGGCGAAGCTATCGCTGAAGGCGAGCCACAGATGAGCATTCACAACAGAGGCATCTCAAGGTCCCTGCAGTCCCCACTGGACTCTCCTAGAGGCAGTCATCCATTTGCTCCCTGTGCTGGGAGCTTATCTCACTCTTTCCTCAACAGCCCACCCTCTCTGTCCCTTTTCCAAGGGGCTACTCCTTCGGCACATGCATCAGCCTTCAGTGTGTCCACCTCACCCCAGGAAGCCCTGCCCTTCCTAACTGGTCATTCTTCAAATGTCTGCCTATAACCCACTGCTGTCCTCACAGTGCTTATCACCGACCACACACATAGCTAAAGCATGCGTTGTTCCTTCAATGTCTCCACTACATCAACAGGCCCCCAGGCGGGGAAAGCAAACATTCTGTTGCCTGGAGCATGCCCACAGTCCAGCACAAAGCCTGCCATACAGTTCCTGCTCAAACATCCATGAATAACTACCCAAATATTTCGACTGGTGTTTCTCAGAGAGACCATTGCAAAGCTTTTACTACCTTGTCCACCCAACTCTAGACTTTCTGGTTTGTCTCCCTTTCTCTTAAGTGTCTCAGCCCAGTGCTGGTGTAAGTGTGGTCTGCAGACCTTTGCTATTGTCAACTCACTGAGAAACGTTTATACAACAAAGTCAGTTCCTGACTCTTATACTACAAAACTGGGATCCTGTGTGTCGTTCCCCCATTCGTCTCTGTCGTATGTTAACAAGAGTGTCAAATGTGCCAAACTAGGAAAAGACTGGTCTGTGATCACAGTCAGTAGAGAAGCAGTCTCGGGCAGCATTACTTCACTAACCAGTAAGAAGTTACTAAAATCATGGGTTGATAATGAGAATAAGCTGTACAGCCCAGATCCTCTGGACAATGGGGGAGTTCATTTTGCTCTCTGATATTAACTCCATCTTATTCACATGATTTCATGTGACACTGGAGGAATAACCACTAGGGTTTTTCAAATTCTGAATGCTCTTTGCCCTTTAACCTATCTGTCTTGCTTCCCCACACAGGCATTTTGCTCTTATAATACTTCTGAACCTCTCAGAGTTTGGCACTCAGCAAAACTTTACTTGGGGGTCAACCTCGGATGTTGGCATCCAACAGAACATATCCTTTTCAAACTCTTGTTTCTAACAAAATAGGGAGCAGGTAGCACTGAGCTGGGTAAAGAGACAACATGTTTCAAATTTCTGAGATTTCAAGAGTTCATTATAGGTTACTGCCCACCCCACAGTCCTGTTGAAAGTCCCCCGCAGCTACCCTCTAACCACATGGCAAAGCAGAGCAGCTTTCTGCAGAAAGGTCAAAGGAGGAGGGCCATCCACCCCTGGTCCTTGCAGCGCTCCTCACTCTGTCTCCAACAGTTTCTCTCCAGAAATAAAGGAATGCATGAGCTCACCCTCACCCCCCCTACCCCATGAGAAGACAGAGGCATGACACCTACAGGGTGTCTATTTATAGAAAGTGTTAACACTCCTCAGGAAAAGACACTAGCAATCTCCTTGGAAACATCCAGGCCTGTGCTCCCTTTGGAATTCTGGCCTGATAATACCCATGACTAAGTAACCGCCTTGAAAATAAAACTGAGAAGTTGGAGGTACTTACGGTTTCCCCCCGGGGATTCCTGCCAGGTTGGGAGGGATCGTAGGTACTCGCATGTGAGGGGGAGGATCAAACCCAACCTGGAAACAAAAGAAGGCATCACAGACTCAGTTTCTATGGGGCAGGTGCTTGGGGAGCATCACTACAGATATTTCGCTGGAAACTCAGGTCCCCTAAGCAGCTTAAACAGGAACAGTGGCACAGGCTAGCAATACCCAGAGGAAATACATCATAGGAGAAGTAATACAACAAACTCTCAATACTACAAGACACGCTTCCTTCTTAGGAGGTGGAAAGGAGAGGGATCTCTTGTGCACTGATTCAGCCTCCCATGGCCTATACGAGTCTGCCTGGTCCTGGCAGGTACACAGCGCAGCATGTTGGTCTCAGTCACCATTTCTCAACCTTGACACTATCGATGTTTTGGGCCAGACAGCTCATTGTTGGGGGCTATCCGGGAGAAGGCAGGGTGTTTAGCAGCATCGCTGGATGCTATCCTCTAAGTGCCAGACACACACCCCAGTTGTGATAATCAAGAGTATCCCCAGACATTACCGAATGGCCCTGGGAGCAAAATCGCCTCCCGTTTCATACCACTGGTCTAAGTTAATCCTTAAGGACGCATACACGATTTTGTGCATCTTAATTGCAGTGCCTAGTCCTTCAGCTGCCCATCTGGCTTTAAACTATCCTGTCCTCCACTGCACTGCTCTTTTCCTGCTAAGGGAAGAACCAACAAATGAGAAATGCACATGACATACTGCAAACAACCAAGAGGAAATATTTTCTATTTGCTATGGGTTATAAACTATCCCCGTGTCCTGAAGCAATCAAGGGCTCCACATTTGATCTTCCCTTCCTGTGCAGTTTTGTATCTCCCTGGTCAAAAATGAGGCCAGAGAGAGACACAGCACCCCGTGGTTTCCATCCATCCCTGCTTCTGTTTTTCTGCCTGTTGCACTGGGGTCACTCCTTACACCAAAGCCATTCTATTTGGTTTAAAGAATAATATAGGCATGGAAAGAGAAAGTTATGGCTTCTCAAATATTTTTTCCTAAGAATTAAAGAGGAAAAAAAAATACTCAAGAAAATGAATGAAAAGGCTTCTGTGAGCTACTTAAGTCATTTCATCGCCTTCCAAAAAAAAAAAAACCCACTTAGGTCGGAGAAAACCAGATGTCCCCTGAACCGCTAAAGGAGCTCCTACACACTGCCTTTTTCATCCACAAAAAGAGTAAGGAAAGCAAAAGACGCCTGGCCGTCACTAAATGGGGCGGCATGTGGATGAAAGCGAACAAGGCGAAGGCAGGCACGGCGAGGACACTGGGTCTTTGTTCTGCTTGGTGGGAGCTGCCACCGGGACCCACCATGCTCCCAAGGTCACCTACCATGGGAGAGCGGCCATAGGCCACCACGGCGGCGGCGGCGGCGGCTGCACTCATCTGCGGAGACATGTTGTGGAGGCTGGCGTAGGCGGCACCGGGGCTGGTCAGCTCGCCGTTCATGCCCGCGTGGGGCACCATCCCGAATGGGCCAGGGTATGGGCCTGGCACTGCCAAGGGCGTCCTCAGGCCAGCCGCTGCAAGGAAGCACAAGCCACACGTGACTCAACTGGCAGCTCAAATCCAGCCTAGCTGGCCATTCAGGGAGAGTTTTTAGTGTTATTCATTACGGGGGAGGAAAAGAAGGGGGACTGTGGGATGGTGAATCAACTCCAATTCGAACACAGGACCCCTTCCTCCCCAGAGCTGAATTCATCGGGAAAGAACAGTTCCCGGGGGAAGCACTGCCCACACATTTCCTCCTGCGCAGCACTGGGAAACCAGCATCCCCGCACCCAATTCACACAAGGCAAAAGGAGGCAAATGGAAACCTGGTCCTGGATTCATGTAAACCAAAGCACAGATTTAGAAGAAATATTCTGGGGCCTCTAGTCCTTTGAGCCTTTCTCAGTGAGGAAGATCAAGTTGAAGATTATAAGTTTATTCATAGGCTGGAGTCTCATTGAAATCCTCCAGATTTCTACTGACAGAGAGATCCCGGATTCCTGATGGACCCGCCGGCCAATTGAAGCAAGCAAGGAGCACACTTAGGCTGGCCAGACGGGCCATTTTGGTCAATATTAGCAAACTCAAGACACACAATAATAGTTCGGGAAGGAGCTTACATTTGGAATAATTATCAGAAACTTTACTGAAGTCCCTAGGACTTGGACTATTTGGAAATAAAAGTCAAACGTAAACAGCTAGAAATAGGAAGGATGAAGCTGCTGAAACCTAAGGATGAACATCTGCTTCTTATCAGGGCTTTTCTGAGATAGGAAGGAGGGAGGTAGACAGCAGCTACATTTTGTTCCTGGGGAAACTGCGTCATAACAGGAACAGATGACGAATCAAACTGGGGAAGGACAAACCAAACAAAGCACGAGAAGAGGCGATGCCCTACCCGCCTGGTTAACGAGGGGGTCCATGGCTGGAGGCTTGCCGAGGCCGGGGCGGAGGCCTGGAGTGGCGCTGGTGCCTGGCGTGGGCATGTCGCTCCGAGGCGTCGGTGTGCTGGATTTCAGAACGGGCGTGCTGGCTTTTTCATGCTAGTATCATTAAACAAATTAAATGAGTATTATTTTTAATCCAAGCCCTATTACACAATTTATCACAACAGCAGCTGGAACACTGGGCACCTTCTAGCTACTCCCTCAGCCAATTTTCATAAATCCACACAATGTTGACAGCATTAACTTGTGAGCGAGAAATGTTGACCTTTCCTCTTCCTGCCAGAATTAAAACCCTAGCGAGAGACACAGAGCATGATCACACTTCTTCCTCCGCAGGTTTTTATCTTACAAAGTATTTTTCCAGCAGGCTTGTGGACTTTGGATCGAGGCCAAGTCAGAAGGATGACCATTCAGAGGAAAGCTTCTGGTCACTCAGAAAGAAGAAAAAAAAAATGCCAGCGGGAAGACCCCTCTTCTAATCTTGCCTTTCGTGGCAGTGGGGATGAGACTAAAAACAAAAAAACAAAAAGACACAGCAGGGCTGTTGATTTTATGAGATGCAGACCAGCATCTCAGGCAAAAGCCCTAGACTAGTCCCATTGCTGTGTTTGAGAGATGTGCCTAAAATGAAGAGATGGCGCTCTGGAGTTAAGCATCATGGCCTGCTTGCCTATGTACCCTTGTGGACCAAGGCAGTTACAGGGTGAAAGAATGTCTTCTTTTGCCTCTCAATCTTTCATGTCCTTTAAATTCATCTGAGCAGCTATGTGGCGCAATAGCAAAGAACATGTGCTAGAGAGAGACCCCAGCTCTGTCTGGCTTTGGATCTGATGGGCTTTGTAAATTGGCAAGTGCCTCAGGCTTCTCTCCCCATCAGAGAAATGACATGAGAAATGACGCTGTAAGGATTACTGTAGTCGGTTATGGCTCAGCTAGGGTGAGTTAAAGAGATGACACACACTCTACAGTGTTTGCTGTCGACTGGAAGCAAGAATGGGCTCTTGCTTCCCCCGCCAGGGTCAGCTTCCCCCTGTGTGAACCACCAAACTGACTAGCAGCCCAATCACAACATGCCCCAACCGCGTGGTTCTGTCTGAAACCAGGTAAAACTGGACAGCTGAAGAAAATGAGGGCTTCTCAGGACCTAGGAGGTCTGAATTATTTGCTAACTGGGAAGTTTCAGAGAGTCTGTGCTAGGAGCATATCCCCCAAGTAAGAAGGCAAGGAACACAGACTTGTATTTCTTTCTAATTATGGCCCAAAAGAGACAACTGAGAGGGCAAGAGCAACACTGTATGGGAACAAAAAGCAGAAGAGGGAGTGTCACTTTTAAACACTTAAAAATACAATTCTCAATCAGTAAAGCCCCCGCATTGCAAATACTTTAGGGTCCCCCTGTTCACAAAGAAAATGAAACTGCTAAAGAGGCAAGTGAGAGTTCTTATTACCTACCAAGCTCATTTCTTTGGATTTCAAAGAAGTAGAACTTCCCGAAGAGGCCGTGGATGCTGGGCTGCTGGACGCATCTTTCTTTAGCAGGCGGTTTTTGTCGATCCCGTTTTCCCGGGGTGAGTGGGTAGGGCTTGCTCTCGGAGAAGTAGGGTCCTTAACAAGCATAAGCAAAGCTTCCATGATTTTGCTTACAATGGACAGATCTTTCCCTTACACACTCTTATTCCCACACGATTCCTCTAAAGTAAAGGAGATGCTGAAAGTCTAGATTTAGGGGACTTGAGGATATGCGCATCAACTCTGTTCTCCTTAAAAGGATGGTGTTTGCAAATATACCCAATTAGACACCATAAAGAAGAAAAAAATCTGGGAACAACCATATTCCTCCTCATGCTCAAATACTTTGCCCAGAGGGCACAGGAAGAAAATGAGTACCAGGGACCCAGCTTGGAGATTCAGAATGATTAGGGAAACGTTTATTTGAAAGGAAACAGGAGTTCGGGTCAGATAGAGCCTTACTGCTCCATCCATGAACAACCATTAAGTTCTCAATGGATAAAGGTGCAAGAAACCAAAACACTGCGCTTCACCTCTTTTTCTCACAAGTCACTCTGAACATAAAGTTTGATAAAGAGTGTAGTTACCTCATTAGACACATCCACAACTAAATTGTCATCGCTTTTGTCACCATCACTGTCCTGGAAAAAAAAAAGTTTTAATTCCATTTATTAAAGGTTTTGAAGCCCAGTTAAATTTCTATAGTTCCTGATATCAGGCAGACTAAAGAAAAACAAAAAACAAAAACAAAACAAAAAAAACACCGGTAATGTGCCTATGTGCTCCCTTAGAGATCGCCAGCCCTAGTAATGAATCCGCCTTCTCCCCTTCTTATCTGACCTGAGGCGACATCAAGCCCCAGGCGGGATTTCTGTTGCAGTAGCTGCCAGTTATATAATCACAGCCTGCATACGAGGTGTGGCACACAGTATGGGCTCGATAAATGTTTCAACCTGAACTGCCCTTATAATCGGAAATCTGCATTATATCAGGTCTTTTCTCATTGAATTTTAAATTATGAACACAATTCATGTCACTGCTTTAATGTGCATCACCTTGAAGACAGCCAACCAATCTAAAGTTCACAAATAATTGATCATAAAGACAAACTTAAACCATGTTCCCATGGGGTGACTCATTGCTACAAAAAATATAAAGCAAACAAAAAACTAAAAACAATAAAGGTTGTTATTGGCTGGAATAACATACTAATCTTAAGAATATGAACATGAAATGACCTCATGTGAAGAATAATCCTCTTTAGCAACCAGCATAAAATATTTTTGGAGAGATAGAAGGCAGGCAGGATGGCAATACTGGAGGGCACCAGCATCCTGTAGTAGGGCTTTCATCATCTCTTCATAAAGCCATAGTTTGATAATCAGAGGAAACTCCAAGGTTGCACTGAGTTTGAAAAGGCTTTAGAAAAGCTGTTCAATGTGTAAGGACATGATCACTCTTCAAGTCTGAGGCAGGCTGAAAAAGGCAGCTTATTTTCCTAGCCGAAAGGCCTGACGTCCTTTGGTACAAAGTAATACAGCGAGCATACAGAAAAAGCAGGCTATCACAACAGGCCCTAATTCCCAAAAGAAGTAGACCCGTAGTTTATGACCTAAACAGTCCTTTTCCTGATGTCACTGTCAATTGAGAATTCACAAATAATGTTTGGGAAGTATTAGTACAGTACAAATACTACCCACATTGGCCTTCTGTGAAACACAAGTCCAGGCTGGAAAGTTACCCTCAGCTTTAAAGTCAGGTCTTAAATGTTTTCTCTAACCATACCTCGAGCATTACGTGCGGGAGACCTCATTTACTTTCTTCAATAATGTGTTACTTGAGACACTGTTATAAAAGCACCATGAAATTCACCAATAACAACATAAAATTACCACCAAAACATAAAATTACCTAGACAATTCAAAATGGTCCACTGAAAGAAATACTTTCATGTAATAAAAGAAAAAAAAAAATGAATACTAAAGAAAACTAGCATTTACTTACTAAAGCCCACAGAAAAGTTTAAATATTTCCAGGTGTACAGAACCCAAAGCTAGAGTGGTGATAAAATAGAAGCTGAAAGTGTTTCCCTTTTAGAAAAATAAATAAAACAAAAACTTATAGAAATGGTTAATATAACTGAACTGGCAAAATAGCCAATAATTAACTTATTATAACGGATCTTTGAAGTGAGTCCTTAAGTTTTCTGTATTTTAAATCTTAGCTTTGTATCGACTCTTCTGCCAATATAAACTTTCACAGTACAATATTCCTGTGATGGGTCCTGAGGCCTTTGACCCAATTGCTTCAATACACCCTCAACCACCTATACAATTAGTCAAACACGAATGTTCCAAAACAGTCATGCAGAGCTATGGATTGTAGCTCACTCACTATTAAATAACTTAGCATACATGAGTAGAACAACTTGAAATTGTATAGCAAATTTCCAAATTTCTGCATATCATGGACCTTCTCACTAGCTAATTAATAGTTGATGCCATATATATAAAAATACCTGCACAGAACACTGGCTCTGGGCAAAAGATAGGGGCAAACATTATGTACTGAAAGGCTTGGGCTGGAAAGAACCAAAAACCTGGGTTCTTTGTATATTATTATTATTATTATTATTATGCAAAGTGTAGACTAATTCAAAGGTCCTCTGACAAAATATCCACCCTAAGACCTCGGTTTGGGAATCCTAGCACAGTTGTTAAGAGATAGATTCTGAAGTCAGACCGCCTCCAGCTTATCCACTAACTCTGACCTTGGGCAAACCACTTGCAAGTTCTGTACTTCAGTCTCTTTATAAAACAGAAGTGAACAGAATAAAATTCAAAAAGGTATTTTGTGGCACCACAGATCTTACCCTGATCACTTTAGCAGCATAGGTCCAGAACAAAATGAAAATGCAAGTCCTTGTTCAAAATTTGAGAATGTGAAGATGGCTGAGAGCAGAGCATTAGAACCAAGGGTGAGGCAGGGTCCTTTCACAAGCAGGACCCTGTGCACTCGCACGCCCATGAGGCCAGCCCTGCATTCCTATGTCCTCACTTAAGGGTAACTAAAGCAGAAAGCCTAAAATTTAATACTAAGCCTGGCAGAAGGGTAATTTACAGTTCTAGGAGGAAATAAAATCCTGCAGTGCAAGACTCTATCCTCTTTATGGTATTATTTTAAGGGCTGTGGATTATCACTAAAATCTTTAGAGTGCCTTTGTATACTCACTTGGAAAATAAGCAAGTAAGCAACAAATATTATTTCAAGTCCTTTATTTACTTACATAGTGGCTGGAATCCTTATCATCCACCTTTCTTTTTTTGATGTCATTGGAAAAGTCAGGCCCATTTCTGCGTTTATCGGTGCCTCGTATACTGTCTGGGACCAAGAGGGAATTACTCTGCAAGACAAAAAAAAAAAAAAATTAATCTAGGATTTCTTCCCAGGTCTCTTTGTACACATGAAAACCCAACCTGAAAGCAATAGCTATTTTAGAAAGGTGATACCTACATCGCCTTTCATTCCATTTAATTCGTCTCATCTGAAGACTGGATGGCAAACACTTATACAACTTCAAGTACTTAAAAGGGAGACCCTGACTATGCAATCAAACCACTTTCCAGGCCCTACTACTCACTTAAAATGTTCTGTTAACTGTTAGAGAAATGGGAACTTGCTGTTTATATGGGGATGTGTTTGTATTCTTTCCCACTGCAACTTCCTGGTCAAGAACATGAATGGCCTATGAGTAAATCTTAAGGCTATTCTATTTGACTTATTCTGTGACTGCAAGTCAGAGTGTGTCACTCCTAAAAAAAATGCAAGGAGAATAGGTGAGGCTAACAGCACAGTTTACTAAGACAAATCAGCACTTCCTGCAGCAACAATGAAGAAACTCCTTTAAGTTTTTTTAATACATAAGATTTGATGCGCCTCAAAAAAAAGAACTGAAATTTAAGTTCCACAGAGGGAATTTCAGCCAGTGAATCTTCAAGGGCCAGGCCAGTTCCAGCACATAAAAGCAGAACAAGGACTAATCTTTTCCACAAACCACACAGGATACTTTCATTTGCATGTGCTGAGTACAAACTGTTGACCCAAAGAAAAGAGGCATTTTAGATATTTGGGGGTCACATGACATGATCTGACAGCTGGTCAATTCCCATCTCCTCTGGGCTAATGCATTAGAACATGTTACAATGAGTTATTTTAAGGGTGGGATTAGCATATGCAAGGGGGCAATTTGTTCAGTGATGTGTCACAGCCTGGAACAATGCTGAGTGAGCTGTGCAAAAACCTCCTTTCACAAAGCTAGATAACCCCAATTTCTGAAAGATGCTGGCGAACTAAGAGGAGGGTGTCCAGGGCCAACAGACAATTATATTACCTTCCTCTGCCACAATTCAGAAGAGAAGGGTCTGCTGAGAACCTTTGTGTTAGAAGCCTCTAACACCACTGCATGTACCAGGAGCAAATCATTTACATATATTTTTAACCGCCAAGGCTACCTGACTAGCCTGCAATAATCAGCCAGGTGGCTGGCTCTCAGAGCTCCCCCGTGACAACTGTGGACCCCACCCCAGGGGCCTCAACAGCTTAACCACATGCAGGAAAAAATAAAAAATAGGAACCAGAAGGCAGTCTGATGTCTCTCTGCTTACTTCCGGGGCCGATTCCGTTCTCCCTTGAGCTGAGCTTTTCATTCATGTCTGTTCAAGCTACACAAAAGCCAGGAGGCTTATAGAAAAACAGGGGAGGGACCACTGCAATTCAATATAAAGAAGCTCAGAGTAATGTCTTTAGCACAGGGTGGGGGACTGAAAGGTGAGCTGGCTGGATCCCTGAACTCATTACCTTGGTAAATGTCTGCTAAAAATTAACCCCTCCAACCCAAAGCCACACAAGATGCCTGACAAGATGCAGAGCCTAAAAGTGCAAAGAGCAACCATGCACTCAGAAAAGCTGAGCCTCCGAGGGGAAACAGCACCTTGCACTTCAGTATAAACAGTATCCAAATAGAATTATACATCAGCCCAAAGTCTCCTCTCCAGACTATGAAAAGTACAGTGGAAGGGCAGGGCTGAACTACTTAACTTCTGCCCATGTGCCCAGAACCCTAGAGTTGGTGCCCACTGGTAATTTTAAAGTCTCTGATCAATGTCACCTATGTAGCCCTTCTGCTGAATCTAGCACTGGGCATCCAAACCATTCAGTCATTCAGAGACGATGTTAAGTAGTATTGCGAGCACAAAAGTAAACAACACTTATTAGGATCAAGAGAATTTTTGTTAGAAACAATAGCACTCCTACAGCTGGACCTATAAGCATGTCAAGTGTTGAGGCCTCCCGACTAAGTCTTAGAAGTTACTGCTGGAATTTCCCGCTTGAGCAGCTTACATGAGGCCTATACTCTGAATGCGGTTTTGAAAAAGCTCTCAGAAGTTCCTCTACACTTGGACAGGGCTAGTAATTAGCACCCCTGCTTATCTGAAAATTGGCCCCATTCAAATGGCAGGCTTCGACGAGTTATGAAACAAAACATCTCTTCGTACCTCTGAGGCTGTAAAACTGATTCGAAACAGGTGGCGAGGAGTGTGGGCTGGAAAGGCCGAGAGCCACAGAGAGGAGCCAGCGGGTCCCTGGCTCCCGCTGCAGCCCCACCAAAAACGGACCACCTCCTTATACCCTCGTCCCAGGAACCTAGCTTTCTGTGTGTAATTGCCCCTGACAACCTCCGGGCTCTGACGCTGCCTTCATTGTTGTTCCCGATGTAGGCAAACAGTTCCCGTCTAATCAACTTCACGTCAGCAGCAATAACTTCTTGGTTAACTACTGCCTGAGAGACCCCAAGCTTCATGGTTCCTTGATTTTGCTCCCCAGGAGCCCAACCAAAAGACTTCACAGGTATTTCGGATGTCTCATGAGACCATGAGTCTTCCTCTCACGCTGTGTTTCCCCCATGCACCATCCAATGGCTCAGAGGTGGAACACAGCCATTTTGATGGTCATTATGAGCAGTTTCATATATATTTTTAGAATGAAGAGATTATACTTGGGTACTAACTTAATATCCTTTGGATCCTTCAAAATTTAGGGTTCTATCTTGATCTGTTAGAGTTTGACTAGGACAAGTCAGAACCACCTTTCATACTAGGATTTATCAACATTTAAGAAGAGGCCGTGGCACAAGAATGGAACCGAGGCTTCTTTGCTTTGTCATTTAAAAACTCATGCATTCTAAACAGAGGGAAATTAAATCCAATCTTTAAAGAGGCTAGAGCAACCTGAAAGACATACTGTTCATCCCCCTCACTCCCTCATTTTACCTGCAGGATGCCCAGCAAGGGGAGGCAATGTGCCTGAAGGCAAGGAGCTCTTCCCACTAAGTCAAAGTGCCACCACACCAGAAAAGGGATTTCTAAACTCAATTTATGTTCCTGCATTACTTGGCCCCCAATAGTTATCACTTACAAGTCACACTGGCTCTTTAGCTTCATGACCTTCTAATGGACAGAATAATGCCTAATATATGTTGCGTACTTTGTTTCCCCTTCCTAACCACAGACTGCCCCCCTCCCCCCCACACACACACACCCTGATTCACTTGGTTGTTTATTCACAAAACAAAAAATGTGAACATAAAATTAAAAAATGAACATTTCACAGCCTACTTTAAAGTAGCCTAAAAGTAGTCCTGTATTCCATCATTTATATTCATGAGTCCTGCCATTTATAACCAAGATTCACACAAGAAAAGAACTCAGCAGAGAACAAAGTAGTCCCGGGACTCACAGTACCAGTCGGATGGGATGGCAATCGTGGTAGAGAGTGATCCCACAGACCTGTTTACCACCACAGACCTCCCTTCCCAGAGTCCCTACTTCTAAAGATTTTAATCTACCAAACAGCACTTATCAAGTACAATTCATTTATCCAATATTTACTTGTCAAATAAAAATTTAATTGTGAATCAGGGATTTTTTTTTAGCAGTATGAGAACTAGTTGCCACACTGACTGATATACTCTAATTCTAGCCAAGAAACTCAATGTTTTATTTCACTTTGCAGTTAGCAAATCTTAAAATACCTGCCAGAATTTTTCAAACTGTAATTGTGGGGCAGACTTTGACTACAAATGTCCCGGCTGGGATCTCCAGACAGTATACATGTTTTCTTTTGTGTGTGTTTTTTTTGTTGTTGTTGTTTGTTTTGTTTTGAAATATATTTTATTGATTTTTTACAGAGAGGGAGAGAGCGGGATAGAGATTTAGAAACATCGATGAGAGAGAATCATCGACCAGCTGCCTCTTTACATGCCCCTGACCAGAATCGAACCTGAAACCTTTCAGTCCGCAGGCCGACACTCTATCCACTGAGCCAAACCGGTCTCAGCTGTTTTCTTTTAAAATTTTATTAAGAACAAAACAAAAGCACCTTATTTTCCTTATGTCTTCTATATGAAAGTAGGTCCAGAAGACCTATTCATCCAACTGGCATGACTTCCTCTCCTTTTCACATGGTAACCACATATGAAATGACTAGATGAGGTGCAATTCAGAGAAAACATGCTCCACAAGAAGTTATGACCTGTGCCTCTTAAGGTAAATCTCTAAAATATAAAATCATAGTGGGCTTCTTCCTTGATAACAGGGAAATTGTTCACTATGACCAAAAATATGCAACCTGAGGGCCATTTCTTGAACTAACAGTGATATGATGGTTAGGAGCTCCTCAGAGAGAAAAGCAAGAGTAGCAGATCTTTCAATATTACACCAGTGTGCACTCCTTGAGTGGTCAAATCCAGAGGAGCTTCCTAACGGGGTGAACCATGTTTTGTAAAACCAACACCAGGAACATTCTCTGCTATAGGACAGTAGAGTCACATTGACTAGACAGTTGGTAGAGGGTTTGAATCTAAATGGGTAGAAGCAGACAATAAGAGAACATATTTAATGCAATTATTAAACCATTTGTTCATGGAAGAACTTAGCATGTAAGTAGAAGAGTCTGTTGAACCTCAGAGAGCATGGGGTTAAGTCAAAAGAAAACGTCAAGATTCAGACTTTGTGTTTGTTTCCTTTATTCTGACTGTTCCAGACAATGTTGTCTCTATTTCACGCTTTGATTACCCACTCAAGACTGAGGGAGAGACCCAGCTGCTTCGGGATGCATAAAACCAGTCTTTAGAGTCTGATTCCAATAAATTTTACTTTTCTTTTAGCAATTTAACAATAATAGTTGTTCATGTATGTGGAGATATTTTGGAAGGCAAACTCCAGAAGATATGAAAGAAGGCAAGTTTAATGAAACGTTACGCTGACAGTGCTACCGGAACACTTGTTCCGAAACCCTCGTATATCCCTCATCTAATGTAAGACCTCAAAGCAACTCTCCTGCCAA